TATTAGTTTCTCAACTTTGTCTCTGTGGTAGAAACTAACCCCTTTCTCCTTCCACCCAAGCTCAAAATCTGAAAATTCTCTGGACCTCTTTCTTTCAACAGGCACTAGCTACTCCCTGCAAGTCCAGTCCTTCCACCTGTGAAATGCCTGCAGTGCCCAGCCCTTCTCCTCCAGCCCCATCTGCACCGCCACTGCAGCCCAAAGCAAGCAGATCCTTCTAGGTGGTTTTCTCATAGAACTCTAGCTTCTACCTTCCCTCTCTCACCTCATTATCCTTGCCAGATCTTCCTAAATGGTATATAACTCCAGTGCCCGAAAATCCTGTTAAGCATGAGTAACTAAACTAGACACCAGTGACAGATCTTCATGCCCACTCCAACCTGGCCACACCTTGCGTTCATCCCCCACTAATCCCCACCAGGCAGCTTGGACCACAGGAGGCTCTCTGCACTGGGCTCAATGATAAGGTGCTCAGCTCTTCCCTGGCTTCTGATTTTTCCCCTTATTGACTGCTTCCTCATGCTACCACTACCCAGAACCACCAGTCTTCAATGCCAGTTGGTCCTGTATTCTCTGAGAAATACAGTGTGGTTATTTCTCTTGAGCAAGCTCTTTCTATCATGAGCTCTAGACTCAGATTTAGCTCTGAATGCCAACTCTTTCTGAAATTTGATTTTACTCATCTGCAAAATAATAATGTTAATGGCAAATAAATAGAGTTAGTTCAGAGGATCAGAGATAGCAGGTATAATATATACATGTACAGTTGCATTAAAGTCACAGCCATTTTATCATTATTACTACAGTCATTGGCTATCTTTTCTCAGCTACTCCTACAGCATTCAAAACTTTTGCCATAAAATTCAAACTTTGTCTTTTCTTTCTTTCTATTTATTTATCTATCTATCTATTTATTTATTTATTTTTCGGCCCATAGGGCACATGCACTCACCAGAGAGAGAAAGAGGGAAAGTAAGAAATCATCCTTCAGGGGAATGGCCAGGCTGCAATCCTTTCTCCTCCACTCTCCTGAGATTCTGGGCATGCATGAGCACACACATGCACCTGGCTTGATTTTTAAGTCACCAGGTCCGGGACTCAAACCACAGTTGGCTATGTGGGAGTCAAGAGCCTTAGCCACCATGCCACCTGCTGGCTCCATGACTTAAGTTTTATAGGAAGTGTCTATCTCCCATATAGGTACGTCATAGCTATTTGGCAACAGACTGATAATCTGATTTTACAATGAGAAAAAAAAATAAGTTTCTTTCAAAGGCCAAATGTAACTATTTGCCAAAAAAAAATACTTCAAAGATAAAAGAGATTTTATTTTTAAAGTAGGGAAATTAAGGAGTCTATTCTCCCAATCGAAAGAAATTGCCAACTTTCTAGAAAAAAAATTCTTTTTAAAAATTTCCCAGAGCTTATGGGAAAGTGAGAAAGTACCCCCACTCCAAGGAGGATAGTCATGCCATAATCCCTACTCTTCCAATTCTCCCACCTTTTGGGATTTTAGGTACATGCGCACATGTATCTAGCATGTTCTTTAGGCTGCTGGGTCTGGATCCCAAAGTATGCAGTCAGACAAGTGGGATCCACGCCACTGGCTGGCTTTGAGATCCTTTTCTAATACTGAACACACTGTAATGTACACGAAGAAATTCATCCTTAGTTTTCCAAGATGGGTAAAGTGGAAACAAGGCAGAAAAGTGAGTTCATATGTATCTCGGTTGAGGATGACAAATAAAGAATGCTAGAACCCAGAAGGAACCAAAATGGCCACCAGGCTAATTCCTTGCCTTAAGGAAGCAAGCGATTACCAACCCGTCCCAAAGCATAGATAGCTCAGGTAAACTATTTTGCAGGACCCCTGGCAACTAAAGGAAAAATACAAGTAGATTACTGATGGAACTATCTGAAAACGTGGCCCAAGGGTACCTATATTACAAAGGAAGGACAGAACTAGAAAACTTGTCAAAGATGTTTTATGTGATAAAAGTAGAAAGTAATCTCTGGTAGAGATCTCTGGATGAAAAATGTTTCCAACTTAGAGGAAGAAGATCCTAGAGGCTAATGTGACAGGCAGGAAAAGCAGCAGCAGGACAAAGGCAAAAATCTCATCTGTTAAAAAGTAAAATGGAGTGAAATCAGCTACTGAGTTTTAATTCGAAGGGCAAGCTCAGCTTTTTAAAGTTCTAATTATCAAGCATACAAAACTTGCCCCTCTATTAAAAAAGAGGTAAAAAAGCATTTATTATTGCAAGAGTTCATTTTCCAGGTCTGTACATGTGGGAACAAAGACTTTTTTTTACTTTGAAATGCATAGAAACTATCTTCA